TAACAAGAGGCAAAGTATGTTGATCTATTGCAGGCAACCTTCAATGTGGCGGTGGCACCTGACTGATTAATCCTTGTTTGAAATGGGGCTATTGAAGAAAAGGCATTGAGAAAGGAAACAGATCATTCCATACAATCAATTTTGATTAAATTAAAATATCAATTTTTCCTAAACAACCAGATTCTATGCAACATGATAGTGTTTTAAAATAATGAGAATATAAAGGACCCTTTTCGACGTCTGCATGCGTTTTGGACATCAAGAGCTAGGCCTGTATTTTAGAGACCAATCAGCACTTGGTGGGATGTAGTCAGCATCATGCTGGCCGCCTTTACTTTTTATGATTTTACCTGATGCCCATTTAATTTAAGGCTGGGTCATCCTGGGAGCCAAGGTCATTTTAAAAAAAAACTTAGCACTTTAGGTTTGAACCCACGACCTTTGCAGCCGCAGATGAGCATTTAGTCGCTACATCACGGAGACCCCCAATAACAATATGTTGTACAAATTACACAAATGATTTTACTTTGAGCGTCTAGTAACAGCAAGATCTCCTCATTTCTCTGAGTATCACTCGCACCAGAATGATGATCAGTTTGCTGTCAGGAATCGTACACGTGCTGCCATTAACACGTCTGCCTTATCATGCACTAGTATTCCACCAGGTTGTGCAGAGCCAGCCAATCTATCCGCCTGTTCATTTCCCAACACACCGGCATTCTCGAGAGAAGAGCCAGATAATGCTCTTCACCCGGGATCTCTGAAGCAAAGCATGCCACTATGCACAAAACATGCCTGTCGTCACCTTCCACAGCATGCTTTCTGAGCATGTTACATTCAAAATGTGGGTCTTGTTCTCTAGCCAGCCGAAAGCTGCAGTGACCGCCTCCACCTCCATTCTTATAAGCTAGATGCTGGGTATCATATGCTAGGCTCTCTTGCCCCAAATATCGTCGTCCATTAGCTTTTTTCAAGAACCCCCGGGCACTTCTTTTTCCTCTTGACAATGAACCATCCGCATAAATGATCGCATCATCTGAGCGAGCATTATTCTGATTTAATTGCTGAATATCCACCTCCATGGCATTTGCTGGTGGCTCTTTGTATTCCCGGTTCAGTGTGATAATGACCACGCAAATCCGACTTCCGCTGGTACTCTGACCCACTCCTTATCTTTTCCAGGATTCAAACCTGTCTGATCGTGCCTCTGTCTGAGCATGACCATCTCCAGTACTGCAAACGGTCATGGCCTGAGCTATTCTTGACTTTTCCCTTATCAGCCAGAGACCTTTAACTGCATCCAGTGCTTCGTGCAAAGGGTGATCTGTGTCTGTAGCTACTACAAGTTATGACTTCGCCTGCAGCACCTTGAGCCTACCTGCACCAGTCGGTAAACCAAGGATGTATCGCATACACACTACTGGTGTTTCTCTTGTATATCCCAAAATGACCTGCATTGCTGCATTATGTATACTCTCTAGTTTAACCATTTGCCTCTTTGAGACGAGGAAAAAAAAAAGAGGAGGGGGGGGGGTGAATGTAAAAATTCTTGAAGTTATTTTAGTAAAAGGTGGCATAGAAGACTCTGCAGTTGAGAGCCTGAATTGTTTGCCCTTGACATATACAAGGCCGAAACACCAGAGGTGAGATGTTTTCTTCTCATAAAATTATGGATGTTATCTTGTAAACATTTTTATTTATGTCTCTCGGTCGACCCCAGGGCCGTACTGTTTGAGGGGGTAAGGGAGGAGTTGGCCTCTCATGGGCACTGACCCCACAACACAACCAGGAAGGCTAACCTGGAAAACAAATACCTGAAGAAGTCGGATGTGTCAGGGAAAGACGCAAATATCACAGCTGTGCTGTAAACAGGTACAGTGCATGTGTGTCACTGGGACACGACAAAGAACAACTCGTAACAACATTGCCTCCTCAGCAGACAGCCTTGCATTTGAAATGGTCAACAAAACCATAAAAGACAACAGAAAGAAGTTCATATAAAACAGTGATTTCAAAATGTTTTCTTCAATCCAATCCAGGCTTTGCTGTGTGGGGTGGGTATAGAAAGGGGTGGGGGGGGGGGTGTTTAACCAGCATCCCCGAAGGGGGAGATTTAGGTTATAATTGTGACTAGGTTATGCGCACCATTTAAAATGGCTTAGCATTGTACGCCAGCAAAAGCCATGAAAAAGACTCCTGTAGTGTTGCTGCCGTCAAAGGAGACACGCCACAAATCAAGGCCTTCCAATAGAAAGCCTTGCCCAAATACTGACCTGACTGGCGACGAAGTCGTTTACTGGCGAGCCAGTGTGACTATGTCGCTGTTTACTATTTTGTTTAATTACAGGGTATTTTTTATAATCCTTTTTTTTTCCACCTATACCAGAGCTCCTTATGCCTACAGTACAATAAGTCATACAAGTTAATGGCGTTTAATAAGTAATGTTACGGAGCAGATAAAGATCAGGTAGTCCGTAAGAGAATGTATTGTATTTTCTGTGTCTTTGTTTGCTTTCAATTTTGAAGGCTCGGATCAGATCGCCAGGTTGGCTAACTCTATGGAATTAGAATTATGGTTTCAAAAACTTTGAAATCTACTGTAATAGTTAATTTATTCACAATTATCAACATTACACATTATACTGTCAAAACCGGACCACACATAAATGTTATTCCTTCTTCTTCTTCTTCTTGTTCACCGGCTGTGAATTCCGGCGGTAAGTCGCGGTTGTTCGTCCAAAATGGACTTTTGGCTTTTACCTTGACCTGAGTTTTGTGTGTACATCCGTTTTACTGGCTTATTTGTTTGCAGTTCTCGTTCCCCGCCTCTCCGGCAGATGTACTCCGACTTCGGAGGAAGACGTCAAGCCTATTTCTAGGTTGACTGTGGCCATTGTTTTGTGTGGGTCGAGATGTTGCCTCATTTGTGTGGTGTCCTCTTTGACTTTTAACAGGTGTGGCTCCCGGAATGTCGTCCTTAAGGCAGCTCTATGTAGAGTTTTCAGCCCTCAAGGGAAGGCAGGGGCAGATCATTGGCATTCCCCGCCATCCAAGGAGGCTTCCATAAATGCAGAGCCGACACATGATGCTCTGGTTCTGGGCTCACCCAAGGAATCGTCACGTCCTGCCCATGACTGCTTAACCTCACAACCGTGTATTGAGCTTCCCGCGCTACAAGGCTGCGCTCTCCGGAGAACAGCGGGGAGCAGCCCGCAGGTCTAGGACGTTTGTGACCACACAAATAGGTACATTATTTTTCATCTTACGTTAGACACCTTTAACGTTGTTTCAGCTGTGCCCTTAGCACGACAGAATGGGGAAGCAAAATGCGTCAGGCGTGGCTTCACCTGGCTAGTTGGGCCAGTGGATACGGACATTCGGACTTTTAGCAAGCAATTATTGAGTTTTGTTAGACTTTTCACCCATGCGTTTGGGGGCGGGCTGGTGAGAGCCAGAAAGGACACTACACCTCTAGGGGCCGCCAGCTCCAAGATCCCCTGCCAACTCTGTTAATGCTCATTTGAGACATTATCCGTGGCGCACGACGGGGACGTGCAGCAGGAGTCTTGCATGAGATTCCGTAAAACCAGAACAGTGAAGGACTGGCGCCCGAGTGGGGTACGGAGTATCTCCTTATACACCTCACATCAGACTTAACTTTGCCTCATGCCTGTGACCGAAATCACCGCGCCACAAATGTTATTCCAATGTTCAATAAAATAAAACAGTCGATTTTACGTTGTTGGTGAGAGCAATAGTAACATAGTTTTGTCATTTCATTAGCTTTTTTCGCGCCGTTGTAGTTACTCTGACTATCCAGGGTAATGGGTTTTCGCAGTATGCGTCTCAGAAACCAAACCTCAAAGTTCTTTTTTGTACATTCATATTCCAAGATTCATAACCTTATTTATCTATCTATCTATCTATCTATCTATCTATCTATCTATCTATCTATCTATCTATCTATCTATCTATCTATCTATCTATCTATCTATCTATCTATCTATCTATCTATCTATCTATCTATCTATCTATCTATCTATCTATCTATCTATCTATCTATCTATCTATCTATCTATCTATCTATCTATCTATCTATCTATCTATCTATCTATCTATCTATCTATCTATCTATCTATCTATCTATCTATCTATCTATCTATCTATCTATCTATCTATCTATCTATCTATCTATCTATCTATCTATCTATCTATCTATCTATCTATCTATCTATCTTCTTTTACCCCCTTCAGAACATCACACAATCGATAAACACCCGATGACATAATGTGCCAGCATGTGGATGAAGATCACCCGTTGTTGCAAGAGCCAGAGTAGGGCTTCAAATAACTAAAAAAAATTGCATCGCACAAAGGGATGACAAGGATAATCTGATTCACAGCCACGTAGCAGCAGTGGTTAACATAGCATGTCGCTACTCTTTTTTTTTTTTACCTTATGAATAATAACTGCAGACGTGTTGTAGAGGGACATAACTTAAGTTAATAATTTATATATGATGGGCTAATGAAACAGGTGTCACTAATAAAAGACAGCAAGACTGTTATGAAATTTTGGAGAGGCAAGGAGTTTATGGTGAATTATTTGGCACTGCACGAGTTTTTTAAGTACAGTCATGACTGTGCGTCTTAGATACAGCAGATGAAGATTATAGGGGAAAAAAAAATTACTTTTCATTGTATACTTCCGACGTGACATTAGGTCACTTTTAAAACTCTGTGTGTATGTGTGTGTATGTGCCCTCTTTTGGTTTGAAATATCTTTTCACGTTATGTAACTACCTGTTTAAGTATAGCCATGGCTTTGTGCGCCTTGTCGGTCAAGTTCAGCCAATCGACAGCTTCCTTTCGGGTCATGTGACGTTTATATAACCGTATATTGTTGTGTAAAGCTTAGGCGACATGTGTAGTCGTTGAACGACTGTAGAGATGCTGTATTAGTCTTTCTCACGATTTACCACACACCTGTACTCCCTACGATGGTTGATTTAGCTAGGGAGGCCTTCATTACAAATAATTTTTGCCTCGCCGCCGATATTTATGAACGAACGATTCGGGAAAATGGACCAACTGCTGAGTTGTATTTAGGACTAGCCGATAGTTTAGCTAGAGGAGGGATGTTTGCGAAAGCTTTTCAGTCGTACACTAATGCTTACAGATTCGGTAAAGTTACCCCCGAAAAACTTAAACATTTAGTTGTTGGTTTGATTGATACTGTGAAACAAGACATGATCAACTGTGGTGGTAATTTATTAGCAAAGAAAAATTGTATGTTTACATGCGGGGTTTGCCGAGGCATCCTAGACGATCCGGTTACGCTGCCGTGTGGGCATTCATTTTGTAGAAAATGTTTAGATAAAAAGTCTACAAACGCGTGTGAATCATGTAGCATTATCCATTACCGACTGAATATTAGCAATCTTAGCTCCACCGTTGTTTTATCCAACCTTGTCCAGAAATGGTTCCCAAAGGAATGCATGGCTGCTCGTTTGAAAAGGAAAGGAAATGAGTATTTTTCTTCTCAGGATTATAAGAATGCGGTGGAAATGTACAGTCAAGCCCTGGAAATATGTAAGTTTGGATGTAAAATATTTTTGTTTAGAGTTTTAATTGCGTATAAAGGTATAAAGTGCGGATAGGGTGTAATGACCGTCTGAAGTCACTAGGTACTTGTTTCGTAATTCGTTGTCATTGCGCATGCTCGCAGGCGTGACCTATGACACTTGACCTAGACCTTCAGCTATTTGAGTTTAGTCAAGAATTGATTATCACAGTATTCGGGGCACTCCCATGCGCGCTCCGTCCTCATCTTCAGCAGCCAGCGCAGAGTTCCAGTACTGATGGTACCGGTCACAATCTGGTTACATGTCCGACTCGCCTTTTCTCTGAGTGTAGTGAGCCGGACAGACCCTCTGTTTAGAGTTTACAGTACCCAGATGCCTCTTTCTCTCCAGGTCATAATAATCTTTCTTTACTGATTCTGTTGCTTGTTTTCCAGAGGGCGAGGGCCTTGACCACATCTGCCTTGTCATGTATCAATTCACCACCCAGTGATGCAGATACAGCCAGTCTGTCTGTCTGTTCATTACCCACTACGCCGGCATTGCCTGCATAAAAGATTAGACCTCCAGATTGACAATTAACTCTTCATGTCCTGCAGTAATTTCTATAAACCTGTTCTGTCCCAAGGAGATGAGCGTTAAACGTAATAAATGTTTAGATTTTAAGGAGTTGAACAGAGACACCATTAGTTGAAAGTTGTGAAACAAATAAAATTAAAGGACCTTTTTCCATGCCTTTAGGTAGGCATATAGGGCTAGACCTATATTTTTATAGACCAATCGGCAGAAGATGGGTGATGTGGTCAGCATCACGCCGGCCACCTTACTTCCCAAGACTGCACCACGTACCCACTCAAGGCTAGGTCGGTCTGAGAGACAAGGTAATTTTTTTTTTAAAGTCCGGCTCCACCGGGTATCGAACCCACGACCTTCCTATTTGCGGCGAGCGTCCAGCCGCTCCGCCATGACGACTCCCAATGAAACAAATAATTCAGATTAAAAAATGTATATTTTAACCATCTTCTTGTGGAAATTATTAGATACTTTTGAGCGGCAGCTAAAATTTGAGTAGTGCATTGGTCTTATCCGAGGACTGAGCACGCATGGTAATGCCCTGTGTGCAGAGATGCTGATTGTGATAATATATAAGATAACAAGGCATATATGATCTTATATAGTAACTATCAAGAACATTTATATTTTTGGAAACCACAGGAACGGTATAGTGAGTTGTTTGAGAAGGCTGAAAGAGTTAATTCTTCAAGTCCCTGGCATGTGTCCTCGTTATATCGGTCAACTAAAAAAAAATATCTCTATGTATATATATATATATAAAGAAACGAACAAAAATTCTGTCCCCTTTGTCCCAACATGTTATTTCTTATATGAACATCTGCAGATCGTTCCAGTAATACTATTTTGGGACGTAAGAAGCTACATGAAGTTTTGGGGTAGAATGAGTTAATAATTAAAAATAATATCAAGGTTAGAAAAGGCATCAGAAGTTGATTTTAATATATATATATATATATATATATATATATATATATATATATATATATATATATATATATATATATATATATATATATATATATATATATATATATATATATCTATCTGTCTATCTATCTATCTATCTATCTATCTATCTATCTATCTATCTATCTATCTATCTATCTATCTATCTATCTATCTATCTATCTATCTATCTATCTATCAGCATGCCTGTCTGCCGGCCTGCCTAAATGTCTGTTGGTATTTGTTCGTTAGCACAGGCACCACTTTTATTCCATGAGATGAACCAATGTCATCCCCACGACCCAACACGGGTTACGCCTTATTGGCCTACCCCTCCCTCCCTCTTTAGACACTCAGTGTGGGCGTCTACTCCGTCCATTTCCTAGTTATAGTGAACCCGTTTTTTTGTGCTCCCCGTCCATGCGTTGGTTATAAATAGGCCAGTACCTGTCCTTGACATTCTCTTAAAGAAAGTTTTTTAGCCAGGGACACAGATGAGTATCATTTATTGTGTACATTAGAGTCCCATGTAGTCACTTCATAGTTAGAGCACATTTGTGTATGTGTACTGTATTGTTCTTTATGTGCTGATGAAGGCTAATCGCCGTAACCTCCTTTGTTTGTTTATTGTGATCGATTTTGTAAAGCCAACATAAACTGTTTGTTTTTCTTCTTACCAACTTTTTCTCTTCCCTATAATTTCATAACCCTTTAAAAACTATATATTTTAGAAGAAGAGCTCTAATAAGCATGTGGTGATATAGTTGGTACTGAATGAGTTGTGTTACCTGGTGATAAGCTGTTAAGATCGTTGAAATGCAAGATTCATATATTTAGGAGCATTAATTACTCTATTTGTGGTAGACATCTTAAAAACCTGAGTAGTGCTTGCTAGTCACCCACATTCACCACACCGTCACTATGCCTTGCCTTGTGAAAAAATCGCCACTTTCAACCAGTTGCCCTGAAGGGGGAGCTGTTGGTTATAATTGTGACTAGGTTATTTGCGCCATATTAAATGGCTTAACATCGCTGGCCACCAAGTAGCCTTGAAAAGGACTTGTGCAGTGTTGATGCAATCTTAGGAGGCAGACCCAAATACTATTCTGACCGGCGATGAGTTATCTACTGACGAGCCAAAGGGTGATCTGGTCCCTGGTGCCATTCCCATGCATCCCTTTGGCACATTATAATACTAAAGATAGACTGGTGCCAACATGGAAAAAAGATAAATATACAAATGTAAAAATATCCGCTATCTGGAAATGAAGAACCGATAAAGGATAACACTAGACAGCATGGACATCAGAGCTCTAGTTGGCAAGCTATGTTTCTTTCACCTCCGAAAGATGAGCTTGTTGTAGAAAAATGTTTCCACAGGCGGTAGATAGATCTATCAGTTTGTACCCCTCAAGGGTGCTAGTTAAAAGTATACTATACCATCATGAGTTAAAAATAAGAGACGAAGACTAAAAAGGCAGTTCACAGATACCCTGACCAAACCTGTAACCTGTAGTCGTATCACATGACAGATCATATCTATTTACATTTTATTTCATGTTTCTAAAAATACTGATCTGTACTTGGTAATTTGTCTTGCAGTTGAAATTCCCCGTTCTTGTCACTTAATTATATTCCAGAATATTCTTACAAGATCTCACCTAGTTGTTTTGTATAATTAATGACTTACTGTGGTAATAAGTTAATGTAATATTTATAATTATATAAGAGCAGAAATTATTGGTTGTAATAAGTGTCTGAGTCAGGCTCAAATATGTTAATAACTAGGCCAAGGTAGGTTTATGTAACAGAGGCCAGGGTCACACTGACTTGAAGTAAAATATAAATGGCTCATTAGCTAGGATATTAATACACTTAGTTTCTACCTAAAACAGCAGGATTTTTGAACTTAGTTTTAATTTTTACTGCTTTATCCTTCAGTGATGAAGAATTGGTCCCTCGATGTACTAACCCAAAGTCATAATATCCTTTGGTATTGTGCGCAGCTACGTGTCCTACACATGTTTGACTCACTTCTCTAGTTGCATGCTTTATATGCATGTATGGGGGGGGGGGGGGGGGAGTAAGGTATGCCCTTACTCCTTTGAATATGTGGGTTCCACTGCAAATAGGTATAGTTATAAAGTTTACTTAATGTGTGTCTTACCCAACAGTTTTTTTTTTTTCTCATTCCAATATTTACTGGAATTTGCTTTACTGCCAAAGCTCTACATTGGTGATTTTATCATACCAGTAATCCCCCTATTTTACAAAACCACCAGATAATGAAACAGATTATCACAATTATATAAAATGTATATATATGTTCCTACAATCTGTTACAACCGATACACAATCAATGCTATATTAAATGACCAGAAGGAAATGAAAAGCATAAATATCCAGTATTGAAGTTAAAACTAAGAAGAAGACCCAGATAGTTGGATGGGAATTACTGTTCAAGCTACTGCTTCATCCCTGTGGGGGTACCGGGGCCCCATTGTGGGAGGAAACAAGAATAGGCCCACTAGCCCTGTTACAGAAACTGAGTGTTGTGTGCACCTCCATTTCACAGGTCCGACTCATTTGCATGCAGACTGTTGGTTCCTTGCCTCTCAGATGTACTCTGACTTCAAAGGAATTCCCCCATTTAGTCAACTCTAGTCAATTCTTAGGACATGCTTTTGTTCTTGTTTTCCTCACAATAGAGCCCTACATCATCATCATGTAGCAGGTCCTTTGCAGAACTTCGCTCTCATCACAGTCTGCCTGAAAGAAACTCAGTCTCTTGCCAGGTTTCCCGCCTCATGTACATTTATACTCGAAGAGTCACTTATATCCTGTGCCCATCTTTGGGTCGGTCAGCCCCTGCCCCTCCTTCCTGGTACCATGCCTTCTGCTATAATTTTGTCCAATCCGTCTTGGGGCTTGATATGACCAAAATATTTCAGCTTCTGAGACAGGATGTTGTTTATTAGACAATCTTCCTCGATGTTCAGATCTTTCAAGATGTCAGTATTTTTCCCCTTTTTTTGTTCAAGATTTTATGAGAATCTTTCTATAGCATTTCAGCTCAAAAGCCCCTATTCTTTCTTAAGGACTGAAAGATAGTCCACGACTTACACCCGTATGTAGCCACAGGGAAGATGCATGCTCTCAAAATTCAAATTTTGATCTCCTTGCTGGTGCTTAACTGTAGGCTTTTAAGGCTGTTCAACCTTTGCATTGCTATGGCCATCCTCTTTTTAATTTCTGTCAAACAGTCTCCATTGCTGTTTATTATAGAGCCTAGATATTCAAAGATTGTGGCATTTTCAATTTGGGGTCCTACAATGGGAACTAAATATATCTATATATAATAGTTTTGTTAACATAGCCAGGTTGAGCAAAGTGATGCCATCTTAAGAACAATTTTGTCAGAATCTTTATAATATTTTTCTTCTTTCTTTGCCCCTGGAATTCCTTGAGGCATCAGGGCAGTAAGAGAACAGTGGAACAGGCCCGTCTGTTCCCTTCGTATATAGTACTTTTCAGTGTCTTATAATGACGAATGAAAATCAGTTTTTTTTTCTCACCCCGAAGTACGTTGGGGAGGGAGTCAAATATAATCATAAAATGTGTATGTTTTTACACACACATGCATACAAACATTTGCCTTCATTTGTCTCATTTCTGCAGCCATAATTCTGTCACATGATTAAACATTTGCATTTAAATATGCAGCCGTATTTTTGTCTCACCCTCTACTCTGCAAACTATAATTGTTGCTGCTAAAAGTAATTAACAAGCACACATATTCAGTATTGGGAGTCACCGTGGCGTAGTGACTAGATGCTTGCCTGCTGATCGGAAGGTCATGGGTTCGCTCTCTGGAGGAGTTGGACTTTTCAAAAATAAACCTGGCTTCCAGGTCGACCCAACCTTAAGTGGGTACCAGGTGCAGTCCTGGGAAGTAAAGATGGCCGGCGTGATGCTGACCACATTACCCATCTTATACCTTTGGTCTTTAAAATATAGGTCTAGCCCTATATACCCAATACACCTGAAAGGTGTGAAAAGGGGTCATTTACTTTACTTTTACATATTCAGTGTTGAGTTGATTTAAGAAAAGACACCACAGCACTTGGGGCATTCCTACAAGCACTCTGTCCACATTTTCAGTATTGAAATATATATATATTAAAAAAACCATGTCCCCATTACAACTCAAATAAGTTGAACAGGATGTGATTGTTTCCATTACCGCTACAAAACATCACCTGTTTGTTTCCATTACTGCAACAACACATAACCTGTTTGTTTCCATTACTGCTACAACACATAACCTGTTTGTTTCCATTACCGCTGCAACACATCACCTGTTTGTTTCCATTACCGCTACAACACATCACCTGTTTGTTTCAGCTGGAACAGACCATCTCCTACTTAGCAATAGATCCCATGGCTATGCTCTTATGGATCGGTTTGAAGAAGCCCTAGTGGATTCACAACAAGTAGTGCAACTGTGTCCAGACTGGCCCAAGGGTTATTTGCGCAAAGGATGTGCCTTATACGGTTTAGGACGGTATGAAGAAGCTGTTGTTTCTTTCCTACAATGTCTGGCCTTAGACCAGAACGTGTCGTCTGCCAAAGAGTATCTTTCTAAGGTGAGCTGAACACATGTTTTCAATTTTTAACTGTCTAATTATTTAATTAAAAAAAAAAATTACTTTACTATACTTAATTTGCTACAGAAACAAAATTCCTCCCACTTGTTATTTCTTGTATGAAGTAATTACCTAATGATTTCCTAATGCTTTCTTACTGTTCTCTCCATAAATATGGCTTAAATTTTTCAATTTACGAAAAGTTTAAAATTTGCGAAATTGTGCTTTCTTACCTCTTGACTTCAACTTTCACTTTCCTCTTCAGTATGGGTCTGATAAAAATGTTATATTTTTCAATTGTCTGTATTTTTTTTTTTTCAATTTCTTTTAACTTCCTTCTGTTATCACAGTTACTGGGTTGTAGTTCAGAATCAGTAATATTTGTGCACTTCTCAAGTTGTTACTTCTTTTCATCACACTGTTACCAGGTTTTAACCTGGGGGATGAGGTTTTCTCATGCTTCTTTTTTTTTTGCAGGAATCAGCTATGCTGTCTTTCCACATCCTCATTGGTCTCCCTCTCACCTTCTGCCCAGATGTTCGGCTGTAGAAGGCCTCATAAAGTCTGACCTTCTCTTTCAGTAGCTCTCTCTTTATCCTGTCTGCCCAGAACTGCGGCATGCACTTCAGTGTTTTTATCTCTCTAAAACAATATAACCCCATCCCCCATATATCCACACTTTCACAGCCTCGGTCTCCATATCATCATCAGGAAGCAGATTGTTTGCAGAAGGTTACTTTCCTGCTGGCGCACTAGAATGCCATTTGATTCTGTTTCTTGGGAACTTTCATGCCTTGTGTGTCCTTGACATCTTGTGTCCCTTGTCATGCTGCTGGCCAGCCTCATCTTCCAGGAACTATACACTTCCCATAACATTTAAGCTTGCAGCCACAGATTTTAGTTATTTGCTGATGTTTCACCTTGAACTGTGCACATTTTCTTGATGGAAGAACTTGAAAAGAAAGGATGAACTCAATGGGGGAGGGGGGCTGGGTGGTCTCGAGGCACGGTATCCGCCTCGAGTGCTGGAGGTTCCAAGTTCAGGCCCCGCTTAAGGCTGGGATTTTTTAAATGTAGACTTCTAATAATTTCCCCTGGTCTCCTGGTAGTGAGATCAAACACCCATGTACATTGTTGCACACGTTAAAAAAAATCCTTGGCAGTTGGAAATCAAATAGGGTAGCCTAACGGCACTGTCTGGGCAAAATTTTGAGGTAAAAATCTACGCAAAGTATTTCAGGATCACTCGCCAGTGCTACGAAGTTCGCGTGAACTGCGATGAGATTCAAAGCGGCCAATTAAAGTCTGCCAGTGTCCCTCTGCCAACTGCCAAAGTCTAACATCTGTCTGATGAACCAACCGTAAGCTTGTCACTCTGGTCGTAAAGGTAGGCACATAATTTGCTACCGCCATGACAATATGTAACACCAAACATCACCAAACCTGTTGCAAAGCCACCATTTTGTTTTGCCCGAATGTCTGTTAAAGTGTAGCAGGAGAAGTCCCTGTCCTGGAGTCATGAACCAGACCGGCCCCACTCCAAGATTGTTTAGGAGGATAATGGGCTAAAACAATTGTCGACGAGGGACTCAGCTACTGATGAACGGTAGACTCCTACTGGGCATGCTCCCTGTGGAGCATTATTAAAATACTTCACTCAAGTTTGAATTAGAAGTAGAACAGAGCACTTATGTGATACTACCCTTGTGCCATGATGTTGATCCATTGTTAAAACCTTCAGTCTCCAAAAATAAAACCATGGTTATCCGAAGAGAGGAGAAGAAACATCAAATCGTGGTGGGACAACATGCATTGGAGCAGGTTAACCAGTTCAAAAACCTTGGAGTCATAATAGACCAGAATTGAGGCATCAGGTCAGAGTTGGTACTTGAAAAGCAGCAGCTGGAAGACTTTTCCAGGCCATAAACCGAGGGTTTCTTAGCAAAAGAGAAATTGGCAACAGGACAATAGTGGCTGTATACTGATCTATCTATGTGCCAGTTCTGACATGAGTGTGCTGCTGGGGCAATGACAACAGCTGACAGAAGCCAGCATCAGAAATTAAGAATCTGAGAAAGGTGGTCCAGTGGATAAAGTTTGAAATCAGACGATACGTCATGACCTTGAAACCCAAGCCTTACACGCCCGAGTCATAGTTACGATGGTTTGGACATGGCTGCAAAATCAGCTACTATCGCACGCATGGGAGGCCAAGAAATAGGAAACCAGGGTTTACTGGGATGGACAATGCAAAATACTCAAATGGAACAAAGCCAAAAAGAAAACTGTTGATAAAAAAGTCTGGGGATCTCTGGCAAACCTCTACACATAGAGATAGAAGAGGAACAACTAAGTAAGTAAGTTCTATTCAATAAATATATTACATGTAATTATTTTAAAAATTAAACTTTGACCATTTCCAGGCTTTGGACCGAATCCTATCAGCTCCACCACCCGATGACCCAAAGGCTCACACTATACAGCAGCAGATGAATTTGTCTTCACTTCAACAATTGATTGAGAGTAACTTCAGCCAGCCTGCACTTCTGCCAAATATTACCCACACTTTGTCAAACCTGGCATGCAGTGTAAAAGATACAATGGCATTGGCACAAAGTTTTTCGGTGGAGCACAAATCACAGGTTTTTGTGTCTTCATCCAAAGAGAACTTGCAGATGGCTCCATTGAAGCAGCGGGGAGATTCTCAGAAGGATGCTGAACTACAAGGAGATGATCTTTGTGAAGATGAAAATTCTGACCTAAAGTGTGAGTTATTTTAATCTGTAAAAAGTTAACATGAAGTAAATTTAATGGAAACACAACATCATATGGGTTCTGAGGTCCCTTTGGGGGAGGGGGGGGGGGAACTGCTCCACTGCCACTGTAACAAGTATGTTGTAAAATGATAATTAAGGGTTGTTTCCTTTGAAGTCCAAGTGCATCTGCATGAGAGGTGAGGAAACAACGGTGTATACAAAGAAGTCGCCCGGCTCGCTAGCGTAGTTGGCTAAACCGGACTGCACTGTGACCCGGTGACGAACTCCTTGTGGTCAAATTTCACACCCGGGGGTAGACAGTAAAGCCACATCTCTCCCAGATTTACGGTATTTATCATGGAATCACGGCCGAAGGGTTGCGATATCCATAATACCGAGCCTAAGGGTAAACAACTCATGGCTTCTGGATACTAAAAAAAAAATACAAAGAAGTCAGGTGGATTATGTGTTCTGCTGTCTGGGGTAACATTCCACATGTGTACACAGCTGATAAACATTTACATTTTCAAATACATGTGGCTGTGTAATGTGCCTTGTTCTGAGATACAAGAGAATGACTTCTTCTGGTCTTCTCATAATATGGTAGTCATCTTGCGCCAGTGTTGGTGGTGTTCTGATTGACTTAGTGTGGTATATGACTGGCACATTCAGCAATACTCTTGTCGCAGTTGATTAGCTCTCCCTTTTCCTGGGCTCTCAACAGTTAGATGGTATGCACTGCATTGTGGCTTTACCCCAACAGCCAGTTAGCCTGTAACCAGCATAAATATTGATTTTCCTCCATGCACATACAAATACACAGAAACTTAGTGTCAGATCTGCAGTCCAATATCTTTCTGTTTCCTGTTCAAACATGACACTGCCAATTGAAAATTTGACAGAAAGAGACAAATTTGTATCTTTTTTTGATTTCTTCGAAGTCGGAATGCATCTGCCTGAGAGGCAAGGAACCAGCAGTCTGCATACAAATGAGTCTGATCTGTAAAATGGATGCACAAACAACCATAACTTTCCACCGGAGTTTACAGCTGGTGAACGCAAAGAAGAAGAATAGATATCTTGTTTTATCATATTTTGACTGCTTGAATTTGGATGAAATCTTTAACAGGTCGTGATATATCAGCCAGCCACACTCATGATGATACTGAGAATCAAACAGATGCGCCAGAGATCTGTTCACCTAAAACCAGGAAACGACTGAGAGTCCCGACCTCCACTACCACCACCACTCCTCAAGGTCCTGTCAGTCCATCTCATTCGTCCCCCGAGAAAGTCTTAAGTAAGTTTTGTACTGTAATTGTTGCACGCAGATTGATTTAGCTTTCTGCCACTGTCTTCCTGCTGATCTAACACTGGAACATGTCTGCGAGGCTCCTGTCCTGAAGGAGTTGCGAAATCATGATTGTGCTACTGTAAAGTTTTTCTGATGTTATCTTTTCATCTCTTCTTGGTCTACCCCATTGCTCTTTTCCCCTTTTTTCTTTTGCTGTATATCTATAGTGAGGTTAAGAATAAAAAACTTGACAGTTCTCATCATTAATGTAAGTTTTTGTCTCAAGATGTCAATATTAAAAAAAATGTTGAGTATACAAACTATTGCCTTGCATATTTCATGGAATCACATCAATTGGACTGACATCAAAATATAATGATGCACAAGAATGAACCCCACTCAGCCCTGTAACACTAAAAATAAGTTAATCGTGACCCTGTGAGAAATTCTCAACAGAAGTCCTTTAAAAACAAGTTTTACAGAGGTCATTAATAACTTGTTAAAATTATTTACGTAATATTGTTTTTTAATTTTGTATGTGGGAATACATAAAGATATATATATAAGGACTAATCAGTTTTTATGAACAAACTGAAGCATTAAATAGAATACATTCCCTGCTCCTCCCCCTCCTAAATAAAATTTAGCAGATGACCGTGCCATCGCTCTGTGACCTCAATCACTGAGGCTTACGAGAAAATTGGGCTCAACTTGGCTTTAAAAAAGTATTTGAAAGACCCACCCACCCCCCTCCTCTCGGGTGCCATGTTTAGGGAATATATTCACATCCAGACCTCATAAACATTTGCATGAACGCAGCTGAATTTAACTCTAGACCTTCTGGTCGGTAGGTAAAACATATAGCACTATGTTACTGCGGCTACCCGATTTAGTTTATTTATTAATTTATTGTCCTGTTGTGCCATAATATGTTAGATAGGGCTCACAGTTTATGCCTCCAATCCTTTCTATCATGTGCAGTCAGTTCAATATCATGGATGGACTCCAGCCCAGCAGCTTTGGCCTCTCTCATCAGCGTTAATTTTAGTTTCCTTTGAGCATCCTTGCTTCCTCTGTCCCATTGTTTCACATTTTAGTGCCAGTTTGGAGCAGAAAATTCTTCACTCTGTAAATATCATTTAGCAAACATTACACACTTTTTCTCTTACAGAGGCCACTGATGTGAATACTGGAACAACGAAGACCAGTCCAGTAACTGTTACTGCTAAATCCCAGTCTTCTGTTACCACCAGTGCTTCCTCTGATGGGCAGAAGATAAACCCTGAGCAGATAAACATCGAAGACCTGGAGTGTGGACTCTGCTACAGGCTCTTTTATGAGCCTGTGACAACTCCATGTGGCCACACATTCTGTCGTCAGTGCTTAGATAGAAGTCTGGACCACACCGTAAGCTGTCCCATGTGCAAGGGAAATCTAGCTGAGGTATTTTCATTGTGTATTCTTGAGTTTTCTATCTTACTGAACTTGCGTGACATTGAACAATGGCTGTAACCAAATCTTATCTATCATTGTTGTTTAGTTGTCCACTCCGCTCACCTCACCTTATCTCAAACACCATCTGCAACCAAACATTACATTGTTGTTTAGTTGTCTGCTCAACTCATCTCACCTTATTTTGAACACTATCTAACCAAACACCACATAATTTAGTTATCCACTCCACTGATTTCACCTTGAACTACCAAACATCACATTGCTGTTTTAGTTGTCAGCTCCACTCATCTCACCTTCTTTAAACTTGTTAAACATTTTGTGTGTGTGTTTTGTGGCCTAACAGTTCCAGCAAGGAGTCAGTGAATTCACTATACATAAACATGTTACTCCCAGTGTGAATCCTGGGGCCCAATTGGGGAGGGGGGGGGGGGTTATATCCACTGCCCCTTACCATAACAAGCAGTGTTGTAAAAGGGGATTAAATTAGAGTTAGCTGAAAGGTGAACATATTGCAGCATAGCTGGAAACAATAAAAGAATATGGCAGCTGCCAACTTTTAGTGGTGAAAGCAAAAACATGGTATCCTTTGATACTTATAATTGTAAGAATTTTGCTGAAGAAAAAGACATTGCCAACCAACCAAATGCCATCTTGTCAGTGTTGAATGTTGAATTAAGAGTCGACATCACAGAACTTGGGACTGCCATAAGCGCTCACTTCCCATCTTCAGCAGCAAGCAAAGAGTTGAAATTCCGATGGTACCAGTAACTGTCTGATTGTACATCCATCTCGCCTTTCCCTTGTGTGTTGGGTGTCAGCCAGATTCCAAGGTAACTCCCTGCAGTGCTGTTTTCCTCAGACAATAATGATCTGTTTGTGCCTCCTCACTGTTCACGTGCTCCCAAAGGACCCGATACACCACTTCACCACCAAGTGGTTGCAGAACCAGCAGGTCTATCTGCCTGCTTGTTTCCCAACACACAATACCCTGGAGAAAATATCCAAATTGCTAATGAATGTTGCCTACAAGTGGATCTTCGGCACTTTATCAGGAGCTAGTTCATCTGTCTTTGATTTTTTCAGTGGCATGCATTGCACTTCATAACACAGAGGCTTGCTGTGTATCATCCTTACATTTCACACTCCTGTGACACTGTCTGCTTTTATATTACTTCAGTTTTCTTGTCTACTGTGTTTTCAGTATCTGGCTGAAAGAAGGCAAGCAGTAACTGATGCAGTACAGTGTATTATACAAACTTACTTCAGGGAAGCTTATAGAGAAAGATGCAAGATCCATGAAGAGGAGATGACAGAACTAACAAGGTAATGTGTCTTGTTGGAGATAATGTTGTAGCCGTAGGGGTCAGATGAATAATAGGTTAATGATGATTGTTTGAAGGAGATTATATTGGTCGGAGGTTGAAGGGGCTGTATGGGGCTTGTGGTGGAAGGAATTAAAGGGGCTATAATGAGTTTGAGGCAGACTGGATTAAATTAACAGGGATCTGGAGTATGAGGAGTTGGAGAAAGCTGGGTCTGGATTAAGAGTTGAAGTAATGAGGATGGTGTAGAAGGAATTAAGTAATAGTTTTACTTGTTTTAAAATTTGTGTTGCTCAGTTAATTAATCTTTAAATTGTTATTGCTTGTTTATTTGATTTAAAAAAAACCCATCTGACATCCATTTTTCAACTATAGAACATTTGTTCCCATTAATGATTGTTACTTTTTCTTCTCTTTGATTGACAGGATGGGCAGTAGTCAACAGGCAGATATACCAATATTTGTATGCATCCCAGCATTCCCAACCATACCTTGCCCATTGCACGTCTTTGAGCCACGTTATCGGCTGATGATACGCCAGTGCATGGAGTCGGGAACTCGCCAGTTTGGAATGTGCATGAGCATTGGTGATAGTAGGTTAGTTGATGATGTAGCCTGGCCCGCATAAAGTTATTTTTCCTGCTTTAATTATTTAATTTTTGTGTGTACCCGCATTAAAGGTTGGCAGTAGGGGGTGTGTACATTCACTGTCGTCTCTGGGGATATCAAGTGTGACCTCACAATCCCCTTCTCTGTGAAACTTTGTACCACTGTCTGAATGCATTGAGATTGGTAGTTTTTCTGCTAAAGGAGTTAAATTTAAAAAATCACAGTACTTTGGCTGAATAGATTTTACAATTCACATCAAATTGACTAGACAGGTTTGACGAATCACATAGTTTGGTTTGGGGGATCACAGTAGTTTGACCAGGCATACTTTTTAAACCTGTGGTTTTGCAGCATAGATCTGATAAACTATACTGGTGTGACGAGATAGCAAAATTTGGTAAATCAGTGGTTTGATCAAATGAGGGTGACAAAACATAGTGACGATATGTTTGATCATAAAAAATGTGCTTCAACTGCTTCTAGTATGACGATGGAGATAACAGCTGTCAGAGTGGCACTTGCGTTGCTGGCGGAATAGAAAGCAACACATGCATTGGTAGTGACAGGCTCGATTAGTATGCTCAAGAAGATCAAACTGGCAAACTGCAACAAGAATGGATTGACAGCATCCAGAAGTCCTGCTTCAATAAACTTTCTATGCTGGGGTGAAAGGAAAGGAAAGCCGACAGGCTGGCCATGTCTGCAGTGGGTAGGTGGGGGAAGAAGTATGGGTAGGGCAGACAAAGTGAAAACACTGTTCTAGAGATGTAACTGTTTCACATTACATTTTGTCTACCATGCTACATATAAAATATTGATTTGATCTCACCACTGTTTCACATTACATTTTTTCTACCATGCTACATATAACATATTGATTTGATCTCACAACTGTTTCACATTACATTTTGTCTACCATGCTACATATAACATATTGATCTGATCTCACCACTGTTTCACATTACATTTTGTCTACCATGCTATATATAAAATATTGATTTGATCTCACCACTGTTTCACATTACATTTTGTCTACCATGCTACATATAACATATTGATCTGATCTCACCACTGTTTCACATTACATTTTGTCTACCATGCTACATATAAAATATTGATCTGATCTCACCACTGTTTCACATTACATTTTGTCTACCATGCTATATTTAACATGCTGATCTTATTTCACACCTTTTCTGCAGTGAACATTTTGGTGACTATGGCTGTATGCTGGAGGTTCGAGATGTCCAGTACTTTCCCGATGGACGTTCTGTTGTTGACACAGTTGGAGGTCGCCGGTTCAAAGTCTTGAGTCGGGGAAAGAGAGATGGTTACAACACAGCCAAAGTTGAATTCATTTCGGATAAACCCATGGATGCAAATGAGTTAAATGGTATGTTTTCTCACATACTTATTTTATTATTGGTCTGTCATTACAGTTGATAGACCACTGAAGTAAAATAACACAGCACACAGACACACTTTTTCATTTTCATTTGTTAAGCTTCTCAATCTTCTTCTTCACGTTCACTGGCTGTAAACTCTGGTGGAGAGTTATAGTTTTTAATATCCACTCCTGGATGTTAGTCTAGATCCAGAGCTTGAGTTTTGCATACACGTCCATTTGACAGATCTGCCTTATTTGTGTGCAGACTATTGGCTCCTCCTCTCTCAGGTAAATGCACACCCACTTCAAAAGAAACATTTCTAATTGGTCAGCTTTTATGACATGCTTGTTGAAAGAGGAGGGGGGACACAGTGGGTCTTTTTCCTCCCCTCAGTGGGACCCCAGACCGGAACCAAAATAGTGTCTTCCAAGAAATGCTAAATATAACACAAAATCTGAGCTTAACGGAGGGAATGGAAAAGATGCACATAAGCAGAAGTGAACATACTGACCAAAGTTTTCATCAGTGGAGTACTAAATACAGCAAAAACTGTGATTAGAAAACCCAACAGGCAAGACAACAGAGCTAATTAAAAATGCAAGGTCACATGAAACTGAGAAATAGGTAATAAGAAATGAATATGAAGGATATAATATGAAACAAAATAAATAAGAAGGCTTATATGAAGAGAGGTAAAGAAATATGAATAAGTAAAATAAATATGAATAAGTAAAATAAATGAACAAGTAAATAAATGATATTAAATTAAGCTGTGTTGAATATTTATCCCTCTAGGAATAAGAACGCCAAAACTATCGATGAAACGATTTTCTTATGATCTGGTTTGATCACCAGAACAGGATTTATTAGCAGTTACTGAGTGTTATATTTAGCATTTCTTGCAGTCAGCTTGACTGCAGTCACCCCCTATTTACATCATCACTTTAGTGTCTTCCAAGTCTAAATCATAAGGAAAAATCTTCTACTTGTTGTTCACTAGCCAGTTGTAAACTCCAGCAGTGGAAAGTTCTGGCTGTTCTTCCATTTTTGGACGTCAGTCTTGTTCCAGGACTTGAGTTTTGCTTGCACAATCCATATTACAGATCTGGCTTATTTTGATGCAGATTGTTGGTTGCTTGCCTCTCAGGCAGATGCACTCTAGCTTCCATGGAAAGACCCCTAGTCACATTTGATGACTTGCTTGTTGGGGCAGTGGGTTTGTCCCACCACAATGGAGCCCCGGAACCCACACAGACAGTAAAGAAACAAAATAATTATAACATGTAAAGAGTGATTTTCAGTTTGATCTTGTATGTAATTTTGGGATGCACACTAAGTTCTTCACTGATCCTGCAGTTGAAATATTCAGGAAAAGAGTTCCTCAGTTAAACTTTTTTATACAAATGTAAATCTTTTGGTGATTTTGTAGGTTTTTGTGTTTTAGACAGACAAGAGCTCTTCCCATAAGTTAACTTGCTTTAAAATGTATGTCTCAGTTAATGAGTTGAACAGAAACAAGAGTTCATGAATTGAAAAAAAAATATACAAATATATTCCTCAATCTGTTTAACAGAGAAAAAAGTTAATCTTTATCTTCTGCATTCATCTGAAGATGTCTGTTTACAGCATGGCTGTGTTATCTGTGCCTTTCAGCCAGCACTTCAGACTTCCGCAGGCACTTGTTGACTGGGTTAGCTTCCCGGTTAAAAAGTTAATCAATCTGTTTCCTACAAATGTAACTCATTAGTTTGTGTGTTTAAATAAAAAAGAAACAAACAAAAGAACCCCTCAGTTAATCTTTGTCATAAATAAACGTGTATTTCTCAGAAGTCAACCTCCTGCAAACAGAAATCCATGCCATGGTAACCAATTGGCTGTCTAGACTGCCCACAATGCACCGGGCACGGATCACACAGCATTTTGGCGAGCTGCCAGAGATAGAGACACACACAGCCCCCTCACAGAATGGACCAAAGTGGGCTTGGTGGGCTGTGGCTGTCTTGCCCATAGATCCCCGTGTTCAAATGGTGCTTCTGGCTATGTCCAGTTTGCAAGAGAGGCTGATTGCGCTGAAGAAGGTAAGTAATGTTTTCTTCTTTGTCTTTTTTTCCCCCCCCATTAGGCAGCCGTAAACTCTGGTGGAGAGTTCTGGGTGTTCTATCCACCTCCAGACTTTAGTCTTGGTGCGTGCACACCTGTTTAACAAATCTGACTTATTTGTATGAGGACTGTTGGTACCTTGATTCTCAGGCAGATGTACTCTGACTTCAAAGGATAAAAATAAAGTAAAGTCGGGAGATGTGAACCAGCATCATTGCACACGGTTATAAACCATAAGTGCTCTGCCACCAGTACGTACAGCTGATAAGAAACTGTCCGCCTGTGTCGCCGTCTGCACGTAACTCCGTAGCTACAGCGATGTTCCTCCATTTACCCCAGAGAGGCTGGTTGAAACCCCGAGAACTGCCTGGTTTCAAACACTGGATGTAGTCTGCAGTGAGTCGCAGCTGGATTTTGAAAGCGAGTCTCCTATCGACTGTGCTAATGCGGCCCCTTCAAAGAATGCCCCCAGTTAGTTGACTCCTACGACATGTTTGTTGAGCAGGCATTGGTTCTGTTCTTGTTTTCCCCACAACCGGAACCCTGGGACCTACATAAGGAGAATTGTTATTATTTGCAAATACTTAAATAAAAATGTCAAACTTCACAGGTCACTGGGTGCTTTACAGAAGATGGTGAAGTTCATACTAGAGACAACATTGTAGATATATATAATTTATTTCGGGTGAATGAAAGAAGTTCCTATTCGCTATCTATTTGTTTAGTACTTAGTATTATAATAACAGCAGGCATGAGATTTTTATGGTTGTAATTAAATGTAGACATTTATAATCTGGCAGTTTCCAGCTAGCTAAGATTGCAGACTTTTTTTGTTTTCGTTTTTGGTCTGCCACTTTCTAAAAGTTCTGGCTAAGATTTTATAATTGAAAAATATAGGGAACCTCAAGAAACGATGTCAGGCTCACTAATTGTTTTTCCCCAGAAAACAAAACAAAATCCAGGATGCAAGCTGTCGAGACGAGCACACTCAGTGTTCCCCGACAGCAAATCAGTAACTTTTAAATGGGTTAGGTCACGAACACATTGCTGAAGGAGGACTTAAGGCAGTCGACACAGATCTTGATGAGGTTGGGCCTTAGCACTGTGGCCAGAAGTAACCCCATTTTCCACTGCTGGCAACACACAAAAATCAATACCACAAATTGTCCCCATATTTAAATTATTTGAATTAATTTTGAGGGGGTAAAATAGTTTTAGGATATGAGTTAAACACTATGCGAGCTCAGTCATAGAACAAATTAAATGAGTATCCTAGGGTTACACTGTGTTAGAATCAGAAAAAGAATTACATTCTAAAGTTAAGGTTGTTTCTGATAAGTATCATGGTCACTTTGGATTTGCTCTATGGGCCGCCGAATGGGTTAGCCGGGTCTCCTGCTTAAGAGCCCAATGTTTATACAGGTCTACTCAAAATTATTGTCTAGTAAATTTTTGTTAACTGAGAAGAGATAGACAGTTATTCTGTATTCTTCCTGAAAAGAACAGTTGGCACACTGTGTTGTAGTTTACAGCTAGGCTGAGATATCTGCTTTTCAGCGTAACACATCCAGTTTCTCACACCATAATAGTTTTCACATGCTTATGAAGGGACAGCGAATCTTTTTTTCTCATGCCTCCTCCAACAGGGCCCTATGACTCACACGAGGAATTAAAAGTTCTCAAAAGATATTCAGTAAAACAAAAGGATCCATGTTACAACAGTAATGCATTGGGCGTGTGAGGTTAGACTCATATTTTATTAAACATGCAGGGATGAAATGTTTATCATCATGCAGGCCACCTTTGCTTCCCAGGATGTTACCTGGAAGCCAAGGTCAGATTTTAAAATAGAATACGACTGAATGAAGGTTAGAGTACAAGACTTTGGGAGTGGCAGGCAAATATTAAACCGCTATTACCACAGGTCCCTAATTGTTCGTCATCATCATCATCCTAACTTTCCACTTCTGCCATTAAGCATCATGAGATGAGATAATTTGCGATCGGTTGCTTGATGGGCAGCAATGGCTATTATTATTATCCTGTGTTGATGTAGAAGCTCTTTAATGTCATCTATCTTCACCTAGGGGGGGTAGCCTCTTGATTTCACTTCAGATTTGTTCATTTGTTGCGCCTGCGCTGGTATTTGGTCTGTCCGCATTCTTACTAGATGACCAAACAATTTGATATTGTGTTTTTTCAGTGAATTTGCTGCATGTTGGTGTTCCCACAGTCTGCCTGATATTTTTTTTTTTAACTGTTTCAGATGGTCAAGTTGGCTGCTTTTCTCAGACACCTTAAATTGTTAATTTATAGTAATAGTTAATAACACTTGTTTTTAGAGTATTGAGTCTATATTCTAATTTGTTTTTTTCCTTTTCAGGTTCTTGTGTACATGAATCGCCGAGGGCCGAGATGACTACTGGCCAGTCTTATTTACACCTTGTTTATGCAGTCTCCATTTGTGCTGTTTATCCTAGCTGGCATAGTCGTGATGTTAGCCATGTTTATTTTAGAGATGCCTGATATGGCCTATGAAAGTTTCATTTTCTGACCAAAGAAAGGTTCAAAATTGTGTGTGTGTGTTGGGGAGGGGGGGGGGTGAAACTTTTGTTTTCTTCTGTTTAATGTTAATTTAAATCACCACTAATTACTGGAGAGCCATCGTGGTGTAGTGGCTAGACGCTTGCCGGTGTATCTGAAGGTCATAGATTCCCGTCCGAATGGAACCTCATCTTTTTCCTTTGAAAATCACTATGAGTACCAGTTTAATTTCTGGGAAGTGAAGGTGGCCGGCAAGATGTTGACCACTTTGATGTGTAAAATATAGGTCTAGCCCCATATGTTCAGTATGCCTGAAGTTGTGGGGAAAGGGTCCTTTTACTAATTATTAGTATCACAATGGTTAATCGATTGCATTGGTTGGGGCATACAGAGGGTACTGCAGATAACTGAGAGACAAACATTTCATACACAGAAAAACTTTAATGCAAGTATAGTGTACCTTGAGGCAAACCAAGAAGTATGTGGACAGATAATACACATGTAGACCTTACAAACACTTGAAGTCACCAACTAGAAAAAGAAGCACAATCACAGAAGAGAGGAATGGAGGTTGTTGATATCTTCAAAAGTTCAGAATGCTGAAGAATAAGGGAAATATTAATTTGAAGTCAGTCTGAGAAATAGAACATGTTCTGCAGAACTACTGGGTATCTGTGGCTTAGGGGTTGCGAACTCTGGGTTCAACTCCAGGTGATTTAACTGTCTGTAATGCCTGCATTTACCACTTTTTAGACAGAGGAGGCTATGGAGCTTGAGTATTTAGGATTGTTTGGCTAATACAGTTGACTCAGACTACAGTTTAGGATTTCAAATGTGCCCTGGCAGACAAAAATCTATCACGGTATCAAGAATTTGAACCTGGGTCTCCAGGGAATAACTAGGGGATCTAGTTGACATTCCACGCTGAGAGGAAAGGCAAGAAGGACAATCAGACTCCTGCTAGTACCATCGGAGCAGGAACTCTTCACTGGCTGCTGAAGACAGGGATGGGGCATTTATGAGTGCTATGGTGACATTCTTAACCACTCGTTCATAATGCAGCTACTGTATATGATAAAACAGATGTGATGGAGGCTCTCTGAGATCAAATGAACAGTGCAGTAAAACAGTCTGTTTGTTGGTGTCAATGTTAGGGATAGGTTCATGAGAAGAATAAGTAGCCAGATTTTTAAGTGTCATGAGACCACACAAAAAACCAAAGCAGTCATTTCTGCCTGTACTTACAACCTTTTAGGGCAACGTATTTAAGTGGGTCTTGAATCTAGAGATTCAGGGCATGACTTTTCAACTGACGAACTACTAGCTGAATCTAGCCATCAGAGGCCTAGCAAGTGGCCGCTGAGTAAAAAACTTAGTTGAATAGCCCTGGTTTAGGGTCAGTTGTTTAGTAACCTCGCCACCAACTATCAAGGCTAGGATTTTTTTTAAAGAGGACAGAGATATGACTATCACCTTACCAGGGATTTGAACCCAGGTCTCTAAACCCAGGTCTCCCGAATGAGAGCACAGCATTTTAGCCACTTTAAAAAAAATATTAGACAAATAATAAACGAAAGTATACTACATTTTTTTAATTTTCCAAGTATTAGATTGAATTCATTCCATGTTTATATTAATCTACTTCGCAACATAATGGAATAATAGTTGTTTTGAAAAAGCATGGTTTGTTGTTGTTCTTAAATAATAATATTTCTAGTATATCGGGGACCGAGCAGTTTCTTATTTTTTCTAAATTTGAGAACTTTTATTCCATAATCAGAGTCCACCAAAAAAATATGCAAACTCAAGCGAAAGAAAAACCTGTATAAAAGTTCTAGTACACTACCCTTCATTTTCTTCTTTACTTCATACAATTACCTCAGGGGTAAGGGGGATATAAGTATCTTCTATGCACTCTTTCTAACGCAGTGTGTAAGTTGATCTTGTTTGGTGAACTTAGTTTTCACCCACCCACATTTTCTAAATTCTTTTTTTTTTCAAATGTACTTCAGTGTAGAAGGTTAAATCTTCAACCCGTCTGCCAAATTTATCTTAGCTTTAACTTTCAAGGTTTTTTTTTTTTTTTTTACGTGCGCAACAATGCACACGGGCGTCCGATCTCACTACCCAGAGACCAGGGGGAATTACTAGAAGTCCAAGTCCACGTAAGAAATCCCAGCCTTTACCAGGGATTGAACCCAGAACCTCTAGCACTCGGGGACACCATGCCTCGAGACCACGCAGCCCCCCAAAGGTTCCGCTTTAATGTCACACTTCTGCTCGTGATTACTTATAGACCTTCATCAAAGGCTGAATACAAATTACCTTCTACAATTATTTAGGGAATAATAAATCCAACATGTTAATGACAGAATCCTAATAGTGCTCTAAAAATTAAGTTCTCCTGCTTCTTTTTCATGTTCACTGGCTTCAAACTCCAGCAGAAAGTTCTTGTTGCTTGTCCAGTTCTAGACTTTAGGTTTGTTCCAGAATTCTAGTGTTGCATGCACATTCATTTTACAAATCTGGCCGATTTGTATGCCGACGTGAGTTTCCCTTCCTTTCAGACAAATGCACTCCAATTTTGAAGAAAACCCCCAATTAGTCAACTCTTAGGACATGCTTGTTAGGGAGGCAGTGGGTCTATTTTTGTTGCCCGCATAATGTGGCCCCGGAACCCACACAGGGAACTTAAGTTCTGAAACAGGACTAAAGTCCAGAAGTAAATGAACAACCACAACTTTCTGTTTGAATTTACAGCCGATAAATGTGGAAAAAAAAAAAGAATGTCATGGGTATAATTTAGTTTACTTCTTTAGTCTCTGTATGTCTCAGGGTTTCTTTTAGGCATCCTAGTTTGCCTCTTTTATGGTCCCAGTAATACATAGGTGTCTGAGGGTATGATGTACTTCAAACCAAAATTGTATAATGTATTGTTTATAGATCGTCAACTTGTATTTATTTTTAAATGTTAGATACTACAAAATTTAAAATGCTTATTTAAACTGCAACCAATAAATGCCGGGATTAGTTGGCAGTGTCCTGAAAAGGATTTGCAACTAACATTTTAAATAATATATTTTTGTACTGTATTTATGGATGTTTATCTATGTATCATTGGAAATAGGCCAAAGCCACTTGAGTGCTAAATCCCTGTTTGGAGAAAACTGCATTTGAACATTGAGGTCAGAGGAAAATAATATAGTTGTGGGAAAAGTAGTATTTTATTTTGGCCTGTTAGGAGAGAAATTCACTGTGTGCCAGTGGTATGTTGTTTGTTAAGTGGATTCAAGAACTTCTTCTCGGTCGCTGTGTTCACCAGCTTTAAACTCTGACGGAAAGTTCTGGTTGTTCGGACTGCAGTCCTGTTCCAAAACCTGAATGTTGCGTGTGCATCAGTTTTACAGATCTGATTCACTTGAATACAGACTGCTGGTTCCTTGCCTCTCAGGCAGATTCACTCTGACTTCAAAGGAAGCTTCTAATTAGTCGACCATTGCGACATGCTTTTGGGTAAGCAGTGGGTCTATTCTTGTGTTCTCAATGGGACCCTGGAACCCACACGTGGATTCAAGAACCTCAATATCTCAGCATTCCAATAAGCACCCCATCCCCGCGAATTTCCGATTCCAGTGGTACCAGTAGCAGTCTGACTGTATGTCCATCTTTCCCATAAGGCCTCAGCCAGGTCTACCTTATCATGCATCAGTTTCCCATCAAGTTGTGCAGAGCCAGCCAGTCTGTATGCTTGTTCATTTTCCAACACAGCGGCATTCCTCAGAGAAAAGATCCAGGTCACCCATGACCTTTTAAGTGAAGCATGCCACTCGTATATTGTAAAGTTATAAATAACAGATTAGGAAATACACTAAGGCAAAAGTTGTTAAAACTAGTTTTATGTAAACATCATCAAAAAACTTTGAAAACTCAAAATTACACTTAGGTGAGAATTATCTTAACTGCACTTAGGTGAGAAATGTCAAAAATTGCACTAAGGTTAGGATGGTTAAAACTGAACAGGTGAGAATTGTCATAAAGCACTTAGGTGTGGATTGTCAAAATTGCACTTAGGTGTGGATTGTCAAAATTGCACTTAGGTGTGGATTGTCAATATTGCACTTAGGTGTGGATTGTCAATATTGCACTTAGGTGTGGATTGTCAATATTGCACTTAGGTGTGGATTGTCAATATTGCACTTAGGTGTGGATTGTCAAAATTGCACTTAGGTGTGGATTGTCAAAATTGCACTTAGGTGTCTTTGACATAGTGCAAATGATATGTGATTCTACATGGATGTTATGCATTAATGCTAAATATATAAACTTTTCTGTTGATGCATGTTTTTTAAATCTCTTTGTTTGTCTAACCATCTTTCAATTTGCCGATCTGTCTCTGTATATATGTTCACTGTTTGTGTTTTCTCTCATTGCTGTTTTGTTTTTTGTTTCAATTTTTTTTCTGTAACATATCCTCTATACAGAGCACTTCAGAATGATTTGTTCTATAACACTTGTCATGAGAAATAGATTACCACAAATCAGATAGCCCAATAAATACATTAAAACACGTAAATATTACTTCTTTGCATTCGGTTTTGAATGCTCAGGTCAGACCATCAGGTGGGTTGCCTATATGAACTCGTATGTCAGTAGTAGGTCCTTCATGGTTCCCATTAGTTGACTCTGCACACTGGAGGAGCTGTCAATCAACATGTAGCCACACCCAGTAGATCTGGCAGTTAAGTTTGAGGAAACCTAAGAGACCTTGACCTTGCATCTCAGTTCATGATCCATAGTGCATGGCCAGTGCTCGCTGGAGGAGTAGAAATGTATTTACCTGGATAATTGATGAGTGGTAATGTTGAATTCCTCAGC